GAAGAGCTGGTGGTGAAACAGGACAAGGGCTTCTCTGCTGTGCAACAGAAGCTACAGAATGTCTAACTGGCTTTTAAATACTAGGTCAAGGAGACCTTCTAGAATGCATTTGAATTACCCTGATGGCCTCTTTTCATCACTCAATCAATCAATCTTTTGTGAGGCCAGACCTAGCAAAACTCATAGAAATATTTCAAAAACAATTAATAACAGCTAAATAGATTACATGGGCATGACTTAAAAGGAGGATAAGCATTATAAAACAGAAACAAACCCTAAAGAACAAATAAGAAATGGCCTTGAGCTGTCCGTATTGCAGTCTATGGGCAGCTCCAGAAATATTGTGATGAAATCTAATGCCCTGTGACTTGATCAATACATTGACCATTGAGTGTCCATTTTTTAAGAGCTATATGCCAATGAAAGACCATGATTTTTGATTTACTAATATTTATAGTCAACCAAAATAGGTCATACATGCATACAAACAGTCCTATTTTTGATAATAACAGCAAATCAGCTTAATCTGCATACAGCAGTAGGGGCTGTTTGATCTCTGCCAAATTAGTGGAAGGAAATCTAGTACAAGATAACAGCCAATCAGATTGTTTAAATAGAGATTGAATAACATGGGGGCTAGTCTAGAACCTTGATGAACACCCTTAGTGGAAGAAATAGATTTTGTCAATATTCTTCTATGAAGCAGATATTCTTCCATGTACCCTGGTAGAGGCATTTGATAAGATAGATGAGTCTCTTATCTATAAAAATATGGAACAACTTTAACCATAGTTTAGCTCTAGGAATAGATTCAAGGGCAAATTTTAAGTCTACAAATGCAGGCCTGATGTCCTCCTTTTTTATTTCTTCTTCCTTCATTAATAACCCTGTTAATTAGGTCCTAGATGGTGATTTTAATTTGGCCAGGGTGCATAAAAATCAATGATTATTTTTAATCATTTTTATTTATATTGGATTTTTTAAATAAAACTTCAGATATGCATATGATAAGTGGAGCACAGAAAAAAAGATACCGGTTAATTCTCTTTCAACTTTTCCTTCCTTCTTTGGAGATCATCTTTCGCAATCTCTGATTTGGCATCCAGTAACAGTCACTCCAGAGTGCATAAACAGCACACTGGAGGTTCTGTCACTGCTTGGCCTCCTTGGAAAATGCTCTCCAAATGTTTGCAATCCTTTTCAATATTTGAATTATCATTATAGTAAGACTTTCACAAGTGTGAAGGGGCCTGGCTCAGAAATGCTGAGAACTGTCAAACTTTCTTGTGTCTAAACAAGTATATAATTGCACTTTTATGAAGTTATAATTGCAAGAATTATTATTGTGTTCAGTTTCAAATTAAAGTTACTTGACTTTCTGTCTTTATGTTTTATCTATTATGTAAAATGACAGGACAAACACTGATTCTAAGTAGGACCTTGACTATGATGCCTTATTTTATTTTAGAAACTGATTGAAGTGGTTTGAGGTTCTTGCATAGTTACTGCAAAGTTCAACAAATTCAATAAAGAAGTAAAATATTCAGACTTCACAACTGAAACAAAGGTAAGTTCAATTCTTGTATCCCAAATCAAGAACTTAACTAAATAATGATGGATGGGATGTCAAACTAAATGGGATGTCAAACCAAAGAATGATTGACATCCCATTCCACAAATTCCATTTGTGCTGGACTTACTATTTAGATGGAAAATGGAAAATCCATCTAAATAGTAAGTCTCCAATGAAATTAGTTCAAAACTCACTTTAAAATATAACATAACATAATCTTATGTTTAAAATTTAAAGTAGGAGGAAGGGTCATGAAGTACAATGGAAATATGAATACAGGAACTGTATAATGTGGGAGTTCATATAGTTAGTAACATGGTTCTAGATCTCAGGCCATTTGGGTGACCACTTTTTGTGGTTAGCCGAGCAAAATACACTGAGATTTAGCACAGAGATGGCCTGGTCCAGATGCCTTATTCACTGTAATCAAATGCACAAAAAGATCTACTCTCACAATCTCTCATTAAAAAACAATTAACACAAATTAGTGGTGTATATTAGAAGACACAGACCACACTTGTAATTAAGACACTACAGAGAGCAAGGGGAAAAAGAGATGCTACTATGATATATAGCAATTGGTCATACATTCAGAAAAAAAGGATGATGTAGTTTAGAAATTCAGTCTCTTCCACACCTTGTCTTTCACTTTTGATCCTCAAACCAGCACGAATACATGAACTAAGCAATGCTAATATCAGAAAGAGGGACTCTGGGTACACAAGAGAAAGAGTGTGCACTCACTAAAGTCTCTAAGGATGGATGCAAGTATATATGTGAGTGTGTATGTAAGAAGACAAAAAATGACTGTGTTTTGGGAACATTGACCTAGTGATATGGGCCACACTGAGGGTAAAAACAAGTTCACAGGTATGTACTAGGGGGTAAAAATGGACTGTAATCAATAGGACAAAAATGTTCTATTGTACAAATCATACTTAGAAACTTAACTTTTCTTATATAATCAACAAATGTCTTTTATTTGGAAGCATTATGGAAGAAATATGACTAGAGTATAAAGATCACAAATCCTAAGAAAGTTTACAAGGAAGCAAATCTGCCTTCTTACTTTCCAGTAAACATTCATAAGGCTTACAATTCATAAGGCCTGCAGTTTGGTTTAAGAGTCTCACCACTGGCTAAAGGAAGGTATTTGCTCCATAGTGCTGGAACTCAGCTGAAGCATCTCAGCTCACAAGCAGGAAGGGGAAGAGATATGGCTGCTTTTAATACTTTAATCAGAATCAAGTGTACACAAAACAGCCTCAGAGGTATGAGTGAGTTTTCAGAAATGATCTATATTTGAACCTCTAATTAACAGAGGGAAGGGCAGAGTTAGCTCCAATTGTTGACTGTAACTTTACACTTTAGCACTAGCCTTTTCTTACTGTGAGATAGCTAAAATATATCACAGTAGCCAAGAGACAAGCAGTCAAATGAACACTTTAACAAGTTACGGAATTACCGTGGGGGAAGGGGTGCATGTGTATACAGTCATATGCAAGTGCTTGTGTGCTAGAACTCTGAACCACTATCGTTCCATCTGAATTTATTAGCAATTAATATAAGCTGCACACCTGCCTTTCATCAGTGCATAGGAAAGCAGAATAAAATCAAGTATTAAATGTTTCTGTTATGAACATTTTTGTTGTAACTGCTGTTTTAACCACCACTGAGGGTTAAACTAGAAATGATCTGTGATTGAACTTCTTAATTTTTTCATACACAAAAGCAGTCACAGGAGACGTAAGTGTTGAGATAGGTGTTTAAGCCTATCCCCCATGCCATTTTCCTAATTAAAATTGCACTCTTTGGGACCATTTATTACATTTCTATACCACCTATTAGCCAAAGCTTTCTGGGTGGTTTCCAAGCTATTCTTGACTTACTAGGAAAAGAAGACAGACCCTGAACTCTTTTCTACCCACCCACCTGCATGCACACACAAAGTGAGGCTAATATAATCTTCTTGCATGTGTATCTATGTGCAATTTTACGCAGGAGGAAACAACAGAAAGGAAAGGGTTAAGCACTCTTCCCTTATCACAGATCTCTTGAGTCAGTCAGTTCAACCCCATGTACCCCATACCATGGAATGTTTGTTTTTCAGTTAGAAAGCTGTGTATCATCTATAGTTTAGCTCTTAAAGTTCTAGTTAATTTATAGCTTCATCCCAATATGTTCATCAGAGGAACAAAAACTAATAAAAACCCATATTTAAAGATCCTTTTCTTTTACAGGATAGGAAGAAAATCCATCTAAATAGCAAGTCTCCAATGAAATTAGTTCAGAACACACTTTAAAATATCACCATACACAACAATTATTTGCTCCTCTGTTTTTATAAAAGAAGGTATAAATTAATTAATTGGCAATACAAGCCAAATTGTTATACGGTTATTCATGGTCAGCTATTTCTATGAACAGGCATTAGCAGACCTTAAACAGCGGGTCATTGATCTAGAGCTACAAACAGATTATCCAGTTTTATCCAGAAATAACTTCCTGAACCATTCCGCACATCTTTTCCAACCAGCTAGATATCTCAGCAGCATAACTATCCACAAATTTAGAAGGGCTTTATCTTTAGCCAAGGGATGCAGGTGGCATAGTGGTTTAAACTGCTGTGCTGCTGGGCTGGTTGATCGAAAGATCACTGGTTTGAATCTACACAATGGGGTGAGTTCCCATTGCTCCGTCCCAGCTCCTGCCAACCTTGCAGTTCAAAAACATGCAAATGCAAGAAGGTGCATTCCATGCACCGCAGTGTTTAGTCATGCTGGCCACATGACCACGGGGACTGTCTGGACAAATGCTGGCTCCCTCGGCTAGGAAACAGAGATGAGCACTGCCCACAAGAGTCAGACATGACTAGACCTTAATGTCATGGGGAAACCTTTACCTTTAACTATCTCTAACCAGATTCATTGCCCTCCCAACAGCTATTACTGAAGGGAGATATAAAAAAACACCCCTTGAACAGAGACTGTGTCCAGGTGGGGGAAAAATAATTGAATCACTGGAGCATGTTATTCTTTACTGCTCTCTTTATACAGGTGCTCACCAGGAATAGTTATCCCCACTCCTTTTACATATCCCGGTTACTCCGATTTTTTTTTACCTTAAGTTACTTTTATCTGATCAATCTGATTTTGACTACAGCGAAATAGTGTTCGGTGGTTTGTACAGTGCATGGTAGAATTAACCCTAAACCAGAATGTTTTTACTTTCTTATTTTAATTACTGTAATTTTATCAGTATTATATATTTCTTACTTTTAACTAAGTGTCATTTTGTGTTTTATTTATTGGCTAGTCAATGACTGAATAAAGGATTGATTGATTGATATAAATTAAGCAATGTTATGATCGAAATTAATCCATTATATTTTAGCTATTTTTTAAGAGCAAATTTTTAAAAGTCTTACCTTTTTCACTAACACTTTCACTTTCAATTTCTACATCATCACAGCTAGTATATTCTGGAGTAGAGGCCAACTCTTCTTCAGAACTGCTCAAAGAAACCTGACGCATTTTACCCCCTTTCTTTGTTTTATGAGGCTTTGGTGGTGGAGGCCTAACTGATTCAGACTGGTCCGAACTTAGTGAATCATTTCTTAACATAGTTTCCATTTTTTCTCGTTTTGTTTTCCGTACAGCTGAGCTAGGATCCAAATGGTGCTGTTTTCTTAGGGAATCAGTTCGCCTCAGATCTGGCCTATCAAAAGGAATTGGACTCCTCCTTGGTGTTGGAGGGCTATGATTTGTGGTCCTCTGACGATTGGGACTTGGTCCCTGAGTTCTTTCCATTGAATATGAACGTTGGTCCATGGCAGCTCTGTGTTCAGATGCAGACCTTTGCCTTGATGGCCGTTCCATTCTCATCATAGATATCCGGGAATCTTCCAGTTCAGTATTGGCCAAAGACACATCACTGTGCCTTCGTTCATGACGTGCTCGGGACACTTCAGCATGAATACGCATCTGTTCTTCATATGGCTGTGGTTTGACAGGGTAACGTGCCAAATTAGGATCACTTCGGTATCGTGCTTGGTATTCTTCTTCCCGACATTGCCTCTCATATTCCTCTCTGTTCTGTCCAACATCTTCCTCTAAAGGATATTCCCTTGAACGCCTACGACTTCTCCTGTTGGAATCTCTGTAATCATCAAGTTCAGGTTCTTCATATAACTGAGATCCTCGTTGTGATCGTCTGTCTGTATAATCTGAAGGTGATCTTGGCATTGCACTATCAGGTGTTGCATACTGTGAATAGTTGTCTCTGTCCTCCAGTTGGCTGAACCTTCTGTTCTGATCTCTGGATATTGATGGGCTCCTTTTTCTAAGTAATCAAGAAAAACAAAAATAAAATCTTGTCAATTTTCCAATATTTAAAACATATCTGTTACTTGCTAATTCAGAAGTTACTGTTTCCAAATGACTGAATTATATTGGTTTTCCCTTAGTTTGATATAGCCTGATAAACTAAGGTAGCATAAATAACTCCCAGTTTGAATCCCATATTTGCCACAACAAAACAAAACCCACCCTCTCTCGGTGGCCTTAGGAAAGCCACTATCAATACACCAGTTCACCTGATAGCACAGTGAATATAGCCATGTGCATGTCAGCTACCATTAATATTCAAGTCAAGGTTGTCATAACTTTTCATGTTCACCCAGGCAACAGGGGTTATATTTGATGATTAAAGAGCTGTTGCATAATCCTAAAACAGATGGTGGCTTTTGTGAGGATTGTTTAATCCGCAGAATAACCTCTACCACCTGGATTCAGATGACTTGACAATGGCAACCTGAGCCGACAGTTGCATATGCACAATGACAGACAGCATATATCTCAGAATTCCCATGAGTTATTAACCCCTGGAGAGCTGTTATGTTGACTAGACCAGGTTAATGTCAGCTACGAATGTAAAGGACAGGATGGAATCCAGCTCACCAGCCTTCTTTCCCATGTTTAGCTCTGACTGGGAAGCAAGCTGAACTGAGACAAGTCTGCGAATGCTAAGGAACACTAGTGGCTTCTTTGCACAAAGCCTACAAAGCCCACAAATCACATGTGTGGAAGCAGAACTCCACTTGCACACCAGGCACACAGTTGGCATGCTCACAGATTCACTTCCTGCCAGATGTCCACACAAACACAACACAAGATGGACTTCAAGTGGAGAGCAACCTTCCAGAGTCCGGGAAGCTGAGCTGAGGAAACCCAATTGATTCCCAGCACCAAACCAGATTTTTGTTTCAGATCACTAATGTTATCTCCCAATCTATAAAACTGATAATGACTTACCTTACAGGGTTACTGTAATGGTCCAACAAGGTAATATATGAGAAACATTTGCAGATCAAAAGTATAAATGCTAAATATTTATATATAAATGCTAAATATAATAAAAACTTAAGCAAAGTACATATATTTTTCATCCACATCATAAGACCTACATTACTTACAGGTATTAGACACAAAAGCTTAGGTACTAACAGAAGAACTTAAAAGGAAGTTCAGGGAAGGAAAGTTTCCTGTGCCTTCCTCCTTTGTACAGCCTCCCTGGAGGATGGAGGAACAACTCCTGTTGAAGAAGGTGCAAGTGGCTGTAGGAGAGAGGAAGAAATGGCAAACTTTCCATGTGTGGAAAATTAATGATGAGGGTTTCCAAACAATTTTCCAATACAAATTAAGTTCCTCTGCATAATGGCAAATTTTTCACTTTGCATCAGAAACTGTTTGGATGCTCAGATCTAGAGAGATAGTCTTAAGTAGATTTCCAGATGTTTTGGACTTCAGCTCCCCAATACCTCAACCTGGTTGGCCTATAATCAAAGGCCACAACAACTGCAGATACTTTCTGCCCAGCCCAGCTATACAGTCTTACTTGGGATCAAATTCCATTGAACTCAGTGCACTGTATCCAATTATGTTTGTTCACCAACAGAACAGCCAGCAAGAGCAGAATACATTCATCTCCTCTCCAGCCCTATACACTACAAAATCTGCTACTGAAGGCTGGGAGACATGGTAGATCAGATTTGGGAGACCTGGGCAGTACAGGGTAAAGGAGAGGAAAGGAAATTCTATTGTATAATTGTACATCTGCTTGTGTGGCATCAGTTGTCTTCCAATTAGCCTTACTTCTTAGCAGAAATGTACAGAATTGTATGGTATTGTTACTTATTTTAGGTTCTAAGCCATGGTTAACTACAACTTTTCAGAAAATGAGAAAGTAATTACAAATTGACCTGACTTACTTATTATGTATAGAATAATACCATGGGTTTCCAAAAGTTCTCATTTTCTGTACAAAGAATACAGGCCATGGAAGTTAATTTATTTCACAGAGTTACTTAAATAACAATATAAGCATTCACTGATAAAACAACTGTTCTCAGAAAATTCTGCATGATCATCTATGGGGATGTTTTACCCAGGGGGCCAGTATTTACCTGCTGTTTACTCTTTCCTTATAACAGTTCCCAGGGTAGCTAAATACTACTCTCCCTCTGTCTCTCTTATATTTTGCAAAGAAGCATAAAACACATTTTGAAAAATTAAAATCAAATCGACCAAAGAAATGCTCCAAAAAGTTTAAGAATATGTACTCATCTCTCTTCCTGCTTCAAGCCATTCTAAAAAGTTATCAACATGCCTCTGAAATTTTAAGATCATTTCATTTATTTACCAAGAAATACAAATAAAATCCTCATGCACAATTATGATAATAAATTTTTAGATATGAATACACCACATAGATAAACTTTGTATGCACAGATTGGTGAAGTGTCTTGACTAATTGTATTGACTGGTAAGCTGCAAGCCAGAACACCTTTGTTTAAATATCCTGTCATGAAGGCACTAAAGGACAATCCACACTCTACACACTAACAGGTAAAACACTTCCCCAGGGATTAAGCAGTTCCACTTTCCGCATAGTTTCTGTGACCTACACTGGGATGGACTGCTCACCATCGCCCGCACAACACCACTGCCGAAGACCGCGGACCCCGACCCACCCGCTGACGATGACGCTGCCCCGAAGGACAGATGGCGGCCACTGTGGGACTGGGAACCAGGATGCTGCCGGCCTGTGGGCCCTCCACTCTGCCGGCAAGTGCTCCGCGAGCGCTGCTCCTGCCCCTCCCCCCCCCAGCATGGGTGGCAGCTGTGCCAGATTGGGGGCGGGGGGCAGGGAGGGGCTGTGGCATTAACTCGCCGGCTGCGGCCGGCAGCCAAAGGGCATTGACGCCATTTGGGGCCATGTGGGGGCTGGGCTGGCCATAGACTCTGTGTGGGTGGGCTTTTGTAATTGGGTGGTTGGAGGGTTTTATTGTTTTTATTGTATTTTAATTTGGATTTTAATTAGATTGTTTTAATGGATTCACGCCTGGCTGCTACTATGGGGTTGCCTGGGGAGCACGTGGGCACCACCATTGGGCTGGTTTTGGGCAATGGTCGATATGGCGTTGGGGGTTTAACGTGTCGGCATAGAAGAAGGAGGGACAGATGGTTGACACCTGTTCCCCCTTCTGGTTATTCCCCAGCCGAAAGGTTCCAGATATGCTTATCAACCGCCCCTCGGGCCTGACAATGCTGTTGCTTAATGCCAGGTTGGTCCATAACAAAACATCCCTCATCCATGACTTAATTGTGGATGAGGGGGCTGACCTGGCTTGCATTACAGAGACCTGGGTGGGGGGGGGATGTGTCCCTCTCTCAACTGTGCCTGCCTGGGTATCTGATCCAGCACCAGCCATGCAAGGAGGGGAGGGGAGGGGAGGGGGGTCGCTTTAATTTATCGAGCTTCTATCTCCCTTGCAGGAATTCCTGTTCTCTCGAACCAGGTCTAGAGTGCCTCTATCTGGCGTTGGGTGACCGAGACAGATTGGGGATTCTGCTGGTGTACCGTGCACCCTTCTGCCCAACAGACTCCCTGCCTGAGCTGATGGAGATCATCTCAGACCTGGTGTTGAAGACCCCCAGGATGTAGGTTCTGGGGGACCTCAATCTCCATGCTGAGACTGTTCTGACCGGGGCGGCTCAGGACTTCATGGTCTCCATGACGGCCATGGGGCTGTCTCAACATGTCATAGGCCTGACCCATGAACATGTACACATGCTGGACTTGGTTTTCTCGACAGGGCAGGAAGAGGGTGATCTGAGGGTGAGCAATTTATGTCTAACTCCCCTGTCATGGTCAGATCACTTCCTCGTGAGGTTTGAGCTCGATGCTGGCCTTTCCCTCTGTAAGGGTGCAGACTGTATTGTGTTGGTCTGCCCTCGGAGCCGGATGGATCCGGATGGATTCCTGAAAGCTCTGGGGGAGTTTCCAGTTGAAAGATCCCGTACCACCCTCGATGGCCCACTGTGATGACTTTGCCCAGCACTTTAAGGAGAAAATCGCTCAGATTCGTCACGAGCTGGACTCCACTAGTGATTCAGATCCTTTAGGGGAGGTGCCAATGTATCCGTCTGGTCAGATATTATTGGATGAATTTCAGTTATTGCGGCCTGATGATGTGGACAAGGTGCTTGGACAAGTACATCCCACCACCTGTTTACTTGAACCTTACCCTTCATGGCTACTGACCAAAGCCAAACACGGGATTGGTGTCTGGATCCTGGAGGTAAAGGAGGCGGTAGTCAGGCTGGTCCTAAAGAAGGCGTCCCTGGATCCAGAGATGGCCGCCAATTATAGACCAGTGGCCAACATCCCGTTTTTGGGCAAGGTGCTGAAACGGGTGGTGGCGGGCCAACTCCAAGCACTCTTGGATGAGACTATCTGGACCCATTTCAGTCCAGCTTTAGACCCGGGTATGGTACTGAATCTGCCTTGGTTGCCCTGTATGATGACTTGTGCAGGGAGAGAGACAGGGGGAGTGTATTGGTCCTCCTGGACCTCTCAGCGGCTTATGATCAACCATGGTATCCTTCTGGATAGGCTAGCGGGACTGGGAGTAGGAGACATTGCGTGGCAGTGGCTCCGCTCCTACCTCGACGGCCGATTCTAGAAGGTGGTGCTGGGGGACATTGGTTCTGCACCATGGCAGCTATGCCATGGAGTACCGCAGGGATCCATTTTGTCCCCCTTGCTATTCAACATCTACATGAAACCGCTGGGAGAGGTCATCAGGAGGTGTGGGCTGCGGAATCATCAGTATGCTGATGATACCCAGCTCTACCTCTCTTTTTCAACCAATCCAGGTGAGGCAGTGGCTATACTGAACCGTTGCCTGGCCGAGGTAATGGGCTGGATGAGGGCCAATAAACTGAAACTCAATCCAGACAAGATGGAGGTCCTGTTGGTGGGTGGTTCGAGCTCCTGGG